ATGTTAAAAGTACTATAAAGACTTATACAAATTTAAAGGGATTTAAAATGTTTGAAGTCACTTATTAGATTCCATTTTTTTCCAATGAGGGAAAAAAAGTAAAAAAAAGTCTAAATATCTCAAAAAGTCAAAGCTAGAATGTCTTGAAGCAGCTGAAAGTTTTGATATAAATTGTTGAAATAGAACAAAAATAATAATAAAACGTATTTTGAGTTTTTTCTGACTGATGTTGACCAGCTGCCCCCTGGTGGTCTTCATCTGTCACTTCCTGGAGYTGCTCACCTTTGGACCAACAGATCCCAAGTCTCCTTTATCTCCAGTCTCCCCCTGATGGAAAACAAATCAAACAAACAAATAAATAAAACAGAGCAAAAAAAATTAAAACATAAAAAAAAGTTTCTATAAACAATCTTATTTATAGAAAATGATAAAAATGAGCTGTGAAAATTCTGCAGATAAAAAAACATACAGGTTGATAATAAAGATGTTAAAATGTGTGTCTTTTTTATCGTCTGCTCTCATAAAAGGCAAGGATCATGTGTTTGTGTGTCTGTTAGCAAAATATCTCATGAACTATAAGACAGAATTTAACGAAAGCCTCAGGAAGTAATCAGTGGATGAACAGCTGATTAGGTTTTGAAGTTAAGGTGATTAAAATGATCATCCCAGTTAAAGGACTTTATCAAACACAAAAACAGACATTACTTAGTTATTTCTCTGGATATCGAGCTAAAATTCAGTGTGGTTGTAGCCGAGACTCGTCTAWAAAACATACTCCAACACAAAATCTTTGTTTAAAACTTCACAGCCTTTAATAATATAATTAACTCCAAACAGATTAGTTAAAATCATCTGAGGTTGCTGCAAAAACACATTTAGCAAGATTATTTTTATATTAGTGTTTGAACCAGTCAAACACTAACAACACTGCTGCTCACAAAATTAAAGAAAACATCTCTGGCTCACCTTTGACCCTTTGGAACCGGGCACACCAGCCTCTCCTTGTGAACCCTGACACCAGTAAAAACACACGTGGAGAAATATTGTGACGACGAGAAAGAAGAGAAAAGCACAACACTTCAGCTCCAAACATAATAACGTCTTTAAAACAAACTACTGATGGATTCATCATAAAACTCATGAAGCACAGAGGAAAGCTTCTGTTCCTGAGGGAGCGATAGTTGGATTCACAAAAAAAAAAAAAAAAAAAAAAGCTTTTAGTGTGAGACAGGAAACACAAAAAGTGTTTATTTGAAGTCTGACTGGGTTTCATTGTTCAGGTTTCTAACAGGAAGTAAAACAGATTTAAACAGGCAGCAGGCCGGCTTCAGACAGAAACAAGAAATGATCTATTGAAAAGCTGTTATTATTTAATGAATTCAACGGAATATTAAATGATCTAAATATATATGTTTAAAAATATTAAGTTAAATTTATTGGGAAAGTATGATGTAATGTTTAATCATGGGATTCCTTATGT